TTGGCCTGTAAAACAACACAAAGCATATATTTGTCCATAATTAACAAAAACTCAAAGAAAAATAAATCTAGTTGTTCAATGGAAGAAAATTTGTTTCATCTTCTGTTGTTATTATTGTTGTTGATATATTTTATTATGTGACCGAAACATTATAGACAAAAAAATCAGGACATTTTATTACGTATACGTCTTTTTTGTATATGACATACGTTGATTAAATCAATCAAATACCTCAATGCACTCAACGATAGATAAACTATTTGATTGGGTCTTCTTAAAAATATCGTTTTTCTGTATGATAAGAAATAACATCAATGATACAGTGATAAAATAAATGTTTCATTCTAGATGGAGATAATGAAAGGAGACAAAAAAGCGTCTCCACAGCTTCTTTGGCTCCTCTCACGAGGGAACCTATGGAAAAAGTGGTTATTTTGTCGCAAATCGTCGGTTTTCACATAACCGTTGTTTATGACACTTTTCGTAGCTGGCGAGGAAACCTATGGAAGTGTATTTAACTCAAAAATAAAAAAATTTCAAAAAAAAGTCTAAAAAAAAGAGGGGTTACCTTTAATATTCTCTGACGGTGTACATTAGGATTCGACAGTATGTATACCACTGGATAGAGGAAGTACTCTTCTACAAACCTACATATATCCCGTTGTGTTGTCAAAACTTTATAGTCACCTTTTTCTTTTTTAACCCTGTCTCGCAGCTACAGCTCGAGCCAGGTTAAGGGCCCCCCCTTCAGAAATGGTGAATTTCGGTCAAAAAATCGGTTTTGAGATACGCACATGGAAAGATAGCCTGAAGTGTCTACTTCCAGAATCTGTATTGCTTTTGGTTACAAAAGTGATTTTTCCGGGATTTTGAGCAAGTCTTCTAAGAGCCTCGAAAAGACGGGTCTTCAAATAATGTTTTTTTCCTGGATACTTATGCAATTAAAATTTTTCTAAACACACAGATTTGTAGAGCAAACGTTTCTGATCAAAATAAGACTTCGCACAACTCTGTATGACCTTGCATCGAAAAGTTACAGGCATTTTCCTAGAAGTCATAAAATCGACTATTTCATACAGCGTTTAACACAGCGTTTTCGCTATATAAGAGTTACACCTGAAGTGCGTCCCAAGATTTTTAATAGCGGTTTGTCGTAGAGAGTTCATTCTTTTTTTGTTTAAAAGAGGAAAAGAAACTACATCGACTGACCGGCGTCGATTTTTGAATTAGGTGTTAGTTTTTTGTCAAACTGAAGATTTTTAGAAAATCCGGAAGGCTTTTTCGGGTTTCGCAGGTTATTGGTTGCCTGGAAAACGAATAAAGGCTTAATTGAAAAATCAGCGCCGGTCAGTCGATGTAGTTAGGTGTCTAGTGTAAAATAAAACAAACCCGAACTCTCCAGCTTGAAGTATATTAAAAAATCTTGGGACGCCGTTCAGGGTTCTTTTTGGACCTTGATCTCTGGAAAACTCCTAAACCGTAAGACTTGGAAACAAAAAAAACTTTTCATTTCCGTAACTCATTGTGCCGAACATTTACGGAAAGTTTCGTCAAGATCGGATGTACGGTGCCAGAGATAATTTCTGAAGGGGGGACCCTTAAGCTTTTAGTATTTTCGACCTTTGGAAAACCCATCAAGATAAACTTTGATACCCACCTTTCTGTATCAGCGATTCATCCGATCAATCTGGTTCCTTCACACTTTATGTTCAATATATTGTGTAGATATGCCCTTTCAGCAGACAAAAATTTAACTAATCTGTAGTTGTTGAGATATTTTGAAAACAGTCGATGTTTTCCTTATTTTTAAAACTCTTTTTATTTTATGACTGATACGCGCACAGTAGATAATTAAAGGAAGGTAGACTGAGAAGCATCGAACAGGAGCTTGTATGGTTCATAACACAATGAATTACTATACTGCTATGTAGATGTTGTTTTGAGTTTCTGTTGCGCTAAAGAAATTCCATATAGAAGGTTAAATATGAAGTAATGTAAGAAAGGATTAAATGAAGTTGGCAAAAAAGAATTTCAGGCTCTATCAGATGATGTTAAACAACGAGGTTTTATTCTAAAATCGAAAAAATTTAAACTGTATTACAATATTCGATTCAATGCTGTTCGTCGTATTGAAAAAACTTATTAATATTCACTATCATCAATAACATATACAGACAAAAAAAATGAATATTAACTAACATACATATAGGTTCTACTCTATGTCAAATATTCTAGTTCTTACTCACTGCTCATTTTGCGTTTTGGTTTCCCTTCTTATCATTCCCGTCATCTAATCCATTACTTGCCTTAAAGTTTTCTTGTTCAATTTACACATTTCTCAAAACTACTATTCTTTATTAAAATCCTACTCACCACAGTTTCATCAATCACTTTTAAACTAAAGTACTACTTGAATTCGCGAGACAGGGACCGATCTACCAAGATCTTGTTTCTATCTGCATATGCTCAGAATACACAGCTGACTGTTTTCTATGCGCTCTGTCTGTCTAGGATGCTAAAATATCTCATTTCAAATGAAAAAATCCAAAAGTATCTTAATCAAAAATAGCCAGTATTTTCGGTATTCAGTATACCGGCGCATACCTACTATCGTCAGTTTTGTAGAGGAAAGAAAACATTAATAAGTACGGTCAAAATCGGATATTTTTTAAAAACCGGGCGGATTCACACGGTTTCCAACCGAAAAAGTGGTTATTTTGTTGCAAATCGCCGGTTTTCACATAACCGTTTTTAATGACGCTTTTCGTATCTGACGAGGCAATCTGTGAAAGTGGTCGCTTCTGTTTCCAGTGATTTATACGTCGATCGACAGAGTATATCGAGGTAGTAAAAAACCTAAAAGAATTTCGGCCAATATATCTGTGATATTAATGTGTATATATCTGTGATATTCATAAAATGTTCCAGCTTTATAACTCAATGAGTCATGAATTTTTGTTTATGAATTTTTTAAAGTTTGTTACTTTACACGGAAAATTTCGAAACATTTCTCTTTCATTCAGTACTTGATAAACTTTTGAAACAGTCAGTCTTGTAGAGTAAAGATTTCTCTACAAAATGACATGTCTCCCAGCTCTTCATTATGTTTTGTGACCTTTTTAAAGGCGTCCAGCAAAATGATCATTACTCTATCACAAAACATAATGAAGAGCTGGGAGACATGTCATTTTGTAGAGAAATCTTCACTCCACAAGACTGACTGTTTCAAAAGTTTATCAAGTACTGAATGAAAGAGAGAAATGTTTCGAAATTTTCCGTGTAAAGTAACAAACTTTAAAAAATTCATATCTCCTCAACAGAAGTCCTTGGAGAGCTGGAAGTGATCTTATTTTATAGAGGACACTTATATAATGCACAATATTTAATTAAAAATAAAATAATTTCTAAAAAAGTCTAAGAAAAGATGGTTATCTTTAATTTTCTCTGATAGTGCACATTAGAATTCGACAGTATATACACCACTGGATAAAGAAAGTATTCTTCTACAAACCTCCATATATCCCGTTATGTAGTCAAAAACCACCGTGAAATTTATAACCGCCTTTTGGCTTTAGAAAGTGAACAAAGCTCTTGCTTTGAGTCTCTATTTTTTTAATTCAGCCATATCCTGACGTTTGGAGCTCGTCCTCTTGTTTTTTGAGTGAATTACAAATTTTTTAATATTAGGTGAAAACAACCTTGAAATCTCAGTTTTTGTAAAACTCATTTTTCAGCAGATCTTTGTACTCTTTGTAAAACCAACCTTGTCATGAGATTCAGCGTGGTCGATAACCCCGTTTAGAGTCATTTTTACTAACATGTGGTTCTAACATGGCGGTCACGTGGTTCTGACATGTGAAAAAAAGATCAGTTCCGGAGCTCCCAGGAAATTCGACACCAGACCTAAATGATCAAAGATGAGAGTCCCGCTTGACTCCCATTTTGAAGAGGACACTTTGGACTATCTATCCATGAAAAAAAATCAAACTATTTGTATTTCAAGTTTTTTGAGCTATGATATAGTGTTACAAAGATCCTCTGAAAAACCTACTTTAGAAAAAGATTTTGAAAATGACTTTCGTGATGAAAAGATGCAAGCCAGGCTTTGGCTTTCAATTGGTGAAGACAGCAAGCATCTACCACTTTCCTGTCGAACGTTATTCAAGAAACATCCGAGTCCATTCTTTTTTTTATCGACAATAGTGTCGAAATTATAATCTAACTTCAAATGCAATATATTAACCTTAATCTTTACCTAAAGGATGTTTTGATACATGATATCTATTCGGATTATATTGAACAGATTGTTAACATAAAAAAATCTCTTGTATATTAAGTGACTAAATGAGATTGGTATCAAAGAGTTAATGAGCACTGGAACATAAGATGAAAGATTAGATTTATAAAAAAGTTATTTATAGATTATGTAGTTTAACGAACATTAGAGTTAATTGTTAGATAATGGTTAAATCATTTGGAAATTCAGTTACATCTGTCTCCTAACGGAGCATATGTTTTTCCTGGTTATGATCAGTATAACCACAGAAGAGCACACGGTCAAATAATTAAAATATTGCTTTGAAAACTAAACGTCATAGGCACACACATTTATGAGAAAATATTAAAAAATAAAAAATAAAATTACATCATCCAAAGCAAACAATTGTGATAATCATTTATATATATACACTGTATCTTTTATTTTCAACAAAACAAGTAAAAAAAGGTAACTGATGATTTTAGAATAGAGCAACAGAAAACAACAAAAAATACTAATTTTATCAAAATTCTTTTTATAACTTCACGCGTGAGAATATGCGCATGTTGTGCGTGAAAACTATAGAGAAAAAAACAACTTCAATTAACATACATACCCTCGAATAAAAGTACTATTAACCATGATTTTCTATTGTCAATTTTTAATGCTGAATTAATAAATAGAATCAACCAAACAGTTTCATCTTTTAGTATATTTATATTAATTAGCATAAACATATATAATGAATACCTTAACAATTAATGTTACTGATGCTCAAACAGCTGTCGATAGTGGAAAAAAAGTGACGGTTGGTTCTTGCATATTAACTGTATGGCCTAGGTATGAAAGATTTTATGTTACTTTAGAAGTATAAAGTTATTTTAAAAAATGGCAACCAACAGTGGGAATTATGGCGACGTTTTAAAGAATTTCATGCCTTACACGATCGAGTATGTTTATTTTCTTGAATATCATGTTATAGTATATGACATATATATATATATATATATTCTACTTCAGCTTCGTCGTGTACAGTCGGATTTAAAACTTCCTAGTCGTCGAATACTAGGCGATTCATTTGAACCAGAATTTATTGAAAAACGACGATCAGGTCTAAATGATTACATCCAACAGATTATCACAATACCACAAATAATGAATATGTATATGTTCAGATACTAATCATCAAATTAAACTTTTATATATTTACTGTTTCTCACATAGGCCAGAAGTAATTGAATTTTTTGCTCTAAAAAATCTTCAGACTCCAACAACTCCACAAAAATTACAAAGCAAAACCAACAACACTCCACCAGTAACACCGGTTCATGAAGATGATCAAGACACTAAAAGCGTAAGGAAATTTCTACTAAAATTGAATGGTAATTGACTTATATGTAAGTTTAGATAGATGCTATTCAAGCTAATCTTGGTCAAACAGAAAAAAAATCGTACGTATACTATTTGTTTTTAGTGACAATAAAAATAAGAATAAATGTCAACGTCAGAGCATGTCCAATCAAAGATTGGCCTAGATCATTCTGTCATCAAACTCAGATGACAAAATGATTTAGGTCAAACTAAACTGCAAACAAAAGCTCGACGTTCAATTTGAGATTGATCTGAACATTTCCGTCTACTATCAGAACAGTAAATAGTAGGTCAACTTTGAGGAGGATACAAAAAATTTCAATGCTTCGCACATCGAAAATTTTTTCTACTGGGGGTGTAAGAAAAAGTTTTTTCGTCGTGCGAGCAGAAAAAACGAAAAAAATTTTAATTTCCGTTGGAAGGAAACGATAAATTTTTTATTTTTAACACGCTCCCCCGAGTTATATGGATGAATAAAACATAAATAACTCTCTCGCGATAGATTTGCTTGTAGTCTAATCTCGATTTACAAGTGGAAATCGTAACGTCTCAACTGAGATACAATCCATATTTTAATCAAGTATCTCACTTGAGAATATCTCAGTTGAGAAACCAATATTTATGCGAAAATATTCGTTTCTGAGCTGAGATACATTTGATAAAATATGGACTTCACGAATTTCTCAACTGAGATACAATTTTGACACTTGCGTTGAAACATGCAATTGTGCAGTGTACACAGGTCTATTATTAAATAGTGGATGAAATAAAATTAGTCATATGATGTATCTGCAGTAGTTGTATGCAAAATGACGTAAAAGTCGCGGAAGCTCTTGCAGATTTTATAGAAATATTTAATAATAGACCTGTGTGCGCTGCACAATTGCATGTTTCAACGCAAGTGTTAAAATTGTATCTCAGCTGAGAAATTCGTGAAGTCCATATTTTATCAAATGTATCTCAGCTCAGAAATGAATATTTTCGCAGAAATATTGGTTTCTCAACTGAGATATTCTCAAGTGAGATACTTGATTAAAATATGGATTGTCTCTCAGTTGAGAATATAAATTGTATCCCAGTTAAGTCCAAACCGTGTAAAAACAACAAAATATCTTCCATATGTAGAGTCAATCCACAAATGAAGACAGCTGTGCTAACAACATGATTATTGATTGTGAATATATAACTGTCCACAACAACAACTAATAAAAATTCTTATAAAGAAAACACATTCTATTTCACCCTCACTTAGATGACATTTAGATATCAGAAGATTCAGTTGGATTAATCTGACATTAGTCTAGTAGTGGAATCTCAGTTTAGTCTAACTTTTCAGATCAATCTTATATTGAACGTCGAGCTTTTTCTTTATATTTTAGTTTGGCCTAGATCATTTTGTCATCTGAGTCTAATGGTAGAATGATTTAGGCCAATCTTGGATTGGGTCCAATCTCAGTCTGGACGCTGACGTATATATCTTTATATTTTCACAGAGTAAAACCAGATGATTTCGAATTTGATAAATGTATTGGAAAAGGTTCATTTGGTATGTTTATTATACAGACTTTTCTTGAACTATTATGATATCTAATTTGTATGTTTCTAGGAAAGGTGTATTTGACGCGACATAAAGTAGAAAATAAAGTATATGCTATTAAAGTTGTTAGTAAAGCATTGATCAAACGTAAACGTGAAGAACGACACATAATGGCAGAACGAGATGTACTTGTGAAAAATACACATCATCCATTTCTAGTATCACTTCATTATTCGTTTCAAACAGCTGATAAACTTTATTTTGTTATGGATTTTGTTAATGGTGGTGAGGTAAAATAAAGAATTTTGTATTTTTACATAAGATTATAATTGTTTACTATTTTTAGCTATTTTATATTTTACAAAAAGAACGAAGTTTTCCAGAACCTCGTGCAAGATTTTATGCGGGAGAAATAACAGCAGCTATTGGCTATTTGCATAAATTAGATATAATCTACAGGTATATGGCATATAATTATGCCGATAAACAATCAAAACTAATTATGTGGATTATTTTAGAGATTTGAAACCAGAAAACATTCTCATTGACCGAGAAGTACGAACTTAGGCATATAAATTTATGTATGTGGGAATTCTCATTTTCTTCTGTTTCAGGGGCATGTACGACTCACCGATTTTGGGTTATGTAAAGTGATGTTGTCGACTGAAGGAAAAGAAGGAAGAACTGGTACATTCTGTGGCACTCCTGAGGTAATTGAAAAGCTTTTGTATCTGTGAATAATAACAATAACATTGAATGCATCATTTCCTCTACTAGTATCTTGCACCAGAAGTCCTACGTCGTGAAGCATACACAAAAGCTGTTGACTGGTGGTGTCTGGGATCGGTGACATACGAGATGTTGTGTGGAAGAGTAAGCTTTTACAGTTTTAACTATAAGTTGTTAAATTGAACTCATTTTTTAAAACTATAATTTTAGCCACCATTTTATAGTCGTGATGTAAACGAAATGTATGGAAATATTTTGAATACACCTCTAAGATTTTATGGAAATATCTCTGAAATTGCTAAAACTTTAATTGAACAAGTGAGTAAACAAATAAATAATGTGTATTAATGTTACTAATGATATATTGTACGTGATAAATTCTTTTTATTTAGTTACTTCGAAAAAATCCACTTGATCGATTAGGATCGTTAAATGATGTGTCGGATATTAAACGTCAACCATTTTTTGCCTCGATCGATTGGGAAAAATTAGAAGCAAAAAAAGTGCCTCCACCATGGAAACCACCAGTGGTACGTGGACACGCTGAATATTATCTCATGCCAATGTTTCATATTTTTCATTCTTTTTTTATAGTCAGCAGACGATGACACGATACAAATTGATCGAGAATTTATCGTCGATCCTATTTCTGCGTCTGTTCAACCCTCCCATCCACTTCCTAATGTAGATCCAGCTTTTGCTGGTTTTACGTTTATTCCTACGAAAACCATGGAATCTTGATCAAATCACTTGTTTTTATAGATTTTAATTCCTAATTTGCCGGTTTATGCTATTTTCGCAAACTTAGCACTATTGTGTCTTTTTAAGTGCAATTTGAAGTAATAAAGCTTTGAGTGTTTTACAAAACTAATGATTATGTTAAACAAAGTCGTTCCAACATCCTGTATCATCAGACGAAAAACAAGTATTCAATGTGTGCTATTTTTTACTTAATGAAACTGAACAGAAACTGATAAATACTGCTATCTAGGGCTCAAACATGTTACGAGGAAACGTCCCAAGTGCCTCCTCGCTTTTTGCTTGAAACCTACATGAAGATATATAATCGACAATACTGATTCCGAATATTGGAGTCTGAGCTGCGGTTGGATGTTTGAACATCTGGTTTACTAGAAAATCCAGTTTTGGATCTGTCTAGTTTGTAGAGCATGTCGAGAAACGTATGTAAAAAAAATTTTCATGTCTATCGGATCAGTTTTGATGGATTTATAGGCAAATTTCGTCGGTGTATGGACTTTCTGAGAAAGTTCACATAAATTTAAATCTATTAAAAATTTTTTTAGAATAAAGATATGAAATTACAGGTTATCGATAATGCTGATTCCGAATATCGAGGTTGAAAGAGTCAAGATAATTATTTTTCAAATAATAAACAACGAAAGAAAGAGAATTCTTTTTTTTGTAATCATAGTTACAGATGTTTTAGTTGTTTTTCAATGAAAATGATATTCAGTAAAAAAATGATGAAAACGAATCATTTTAGTACACTAATGTAATAAAAACAGCTTGATGATACACTGATGTATTTGACAATCTCGATCTAATGTCGAATACACACTATAGAATTTTTAGAAGTAATTTACCGATAAATCCATCAAAACTGATGCGATCGACATGAAAACTTTTTTACATAGACTTCTCGATATACTCTACAAACTGAACAGATCCAAAACTGAATTTGAGGAACAAAAACTTTTCGCTGAAAAAACGGATTTTCTAGAAAACTAGATGTCTAAACGCCCATCAGTAGCTCAGACTCCGATATTCGGAATCAGTATTGTCGATTACATATCTTCATGTAGGTTTCAAGTAAAAAGCGAGAGCGTGCCTGGGAACCTTCTCTCATTAGACTAATGAATGAATTATTTAATGTCTGGAATGCTTTTATTGAATTTACGGAAGATTTTTCATATTCTAAAAAAACATTAATGTATAACAGATAAATTGTTCACTTCATGTAAAATCCAAAGTGTAATAATGATCGAATAATAAAGCTTTTGTTGTTGTTGTCTTTCACCACCATCATTTTTAATACGATGATCAGAAATTATTTTTGTATTACGTGTTGTATTTCGACTAGATAATGGGGATGAATAAATATTAATTATAGTCGATGATGGAGACTGTTTTTTACTATCAATTATTTGGGTTGATAATAAGTTTATTGCTGACGTATCGGACAATGGTGTCGAATTATCAGTTAAATTAGAGGCTGTAGCACTTGTAATCACATCGTCAAACATTGTTTCATGTACACGTTTTGTAAACGGAAACATACCACGACCACAAAACAGTCCAGTATAATCATCATAATCTAATGTCCATAACATTGCACCACCAAGTCCAAGGGTTTTTGCCCATATAACCTAAATATGATCAACCATAGTACAGTATAATAGTCTAAAATCTAATATTAATTACTTTTAATGTTGCACTTCCCAAACTATCGTAGCCCACCCATTGATTTTCATAATAAGCATATTGAGCTTGTGAATCATGATCCCATTCTGTCGTCCAATTATTTGCACGTAATTTTTGACAAATCTATCATAGTATAGAACATACGGAACATATTAAAATGAAAGAACAAAATACTAACTCTATTAACATATACTAACTTCAAAATAAGCCAAAATACCTTCTTCTTTTGTATATGGACCAGCTATTAATGAAAATAGTTATTTCATACACCATGTTGACATAGTCTTTTGACTAATTTCACATTTTTCTACTCACCTTCGCCACCTTCACTA